GAGAGGGGCAGAGAGGCTCTGGGCCCCGCAACAACCCCCATGACGCGTGTCCAAGCAGGAGCACCTCCAGAAGCGACCGGGAGAACCCACTGCCTGTGGCCCAGGACCATGAGGGACGCGCGCCCTGGCTGGCCAAGTCAAGCAGGTGTCTGCGAAACACCGGCCTCCCCTTCCCAGTGAGTCTGCAGCGCCTGCAGTCCTACCCTCCAGCGGGAAGCAGGGTTCCTGCTCTACCATGCCCTTGGGAGCTCAGCAGCCCCACCTCGCCCAGCCACAGCTGCCTGAACAGGTGCAGTGATGTGGGCTCGGGACCCCCCCCAGCTGTGGCAGCCACCCCGCCCCGGGCTCCCCCCACAGACGGGCGTGCGACCCAGGAGCCAACCGCAGCGAGAGGACGCGGCACTCAGCATCACCGCGGCAGGCAGGGCAGGCAGAGCGGAAGGTCCTGGATGGGACAGAGAGACTGCAGGGAGCAGCGAGGTGGCACGTGGAGGAAGGGGCCGCTGCAGGACAAACTGGAGTGTGTAAACCCAGAGAGACCGAGGCTGGTGAGCAAGTCCGAAAACAGAGCAATCCCAAAATACCTGAAGGAATTCCTCACACTTTTCTCATACACTAGCAAAATCATAAACAGGAGCTATTAGTCTTCTAACAATTTCGTAAAGAATATCACTGGTAAAAATAACCATCGCAAAATAAAACTTATACTGGCTGAAACTACACAGGGAGAAACCCATCAGAAACTAAAAATCGAGGGTAGAATCTCTCTGTACAATTTAGAACCGAGCGTTCCAATCAGGCGATCCAACCCAGCGCAAATGACACAGAAGGAAGCTCAGCACAGCGGGAGCGATAATCAGTAAAATGTGATACCTATTTAAAAAATAATAAATTCTAGGGCCCCTGGGTGGCTCAGTCGGTGAAGCGCCTGCCTTCGGCTCAGGTCATGATCTCAGGGTCCTGGGATTGAGCCCCACGTCCTGCTCCCTGCTGAGCAGGGAGCCTGCTTCTCCCTCTCCCCCCTCCCCTTCTCCTTCTCTCTCTCTCAGATAAAGAAATAAAATCTTTTTTTTAAAAAATAATAAATTCTAAAAATCTCTCAAGGGTCCAGTAATATTTACATGGAAAAAATGATTCCAGTGAAAATAATTTCTGAAAAATGAGAAAAGTCAATGATCCATTTGCCCTCACCTTAAAATCAGGCAAGTCCCAGCCCCCCGGTTTCTGGAACGCTCACGACTCCGCTGGAGCGAAGAGCCTTCTGGAAGCTACAGATGTCGGAGACTGGACATCAGGAACAGCACACCTGAGCCGTGGCCGCGATCCACTAACCCCGGCGCTGAGCTGGAAAGCCTCCGGGCGGAGGAAAGCCGGGAGGCGGGGACAGAGGGCGGGAGGACTCCGAAGCCCCGCACAGCTCCCTGCCCCACCCCGCACAGAGGCCGCGGGAGCTGAGGTCATCCCTCCTGGGAGCTTTCCTGCAGGGGGGCCGGGAGCAGGACTTCTGAGGTCGCCCACGGCTCTCCACGGCTGGCTGGACCCAGAGCACTGCGTCAGCACGTGGGGCGTCTGCGGGAAGCGGCCAGAGGCTACACACCCGGGCCCCCAGTTTCAAAAACGTGCTGACATCGAAAATCAGCACATGCTCTTTGCTGGGAATACCAAAAACGCAGAAAGGCGTAAAACAGAAAATTTAAATTCCTATAATCCTACAACCCAGAACTATCTACTACTAATGTTTTGGTTTATTTCTTCCCCATACTTTCTCTGTGTAAATATTTTAATCAGTCGTGTCTGTTCCTGTATCCTGTCTGATTCTCTCCCATGTGTCACGTCATGGCCAATCCTCTTTTCAAGATCGCCCCAAGAAGGATACTTCCGACATTTCTGCGTAAATGCTTCCACTACTCAGTGATCCAAGTACATACACGTGGGTTGATGTGTTCTCTATATTCTGCACTTAGCAAAGACCCCAAACCAGAGCTGCTCATTTCATCAGCGGCGGTGCCAGACCCCTGATGAACCCCACACTCGTGGACTCAAGGACTGGCATGCCCAGAGGGAGTCATGCTGGTTAACCCGGCTGCTGCTGGCAGGGCCTGTAAAGGGCCAGGTCCAAGCTCCTCTCTTCCACCCTAACCCCACAGAGGACTCCATACTAGAACACGCCGCCCAGGGTAGGATTTTAAGTTACCCGTGGATATTGGGCATCCATTAAAATGATTTCACAGCATGAAAAATGGTGACACTGAAATCTGACATTAAATTTAAGAAGTAGGATGCAAATTTATGTGAACAATACAATTATAACAAAGCAAAAAAGGGCACAAAAAAAGGAAATATACTAAAGTAAGTGCCAACCTCTGGATGATTTTATTACGGATGATTTTCTCACCACTTCAGGTATATTCAACTTTCTATCACAAGCATATGTTGGAAAAATTTGAAACAAGGCAGTTACTTAATGAAGGTAGGACTTTACTGCCACTTGCACGCTGAGCTCAAATGTCATTACTTTGAAAAAACATCAATGAAATAGCATCGTGAAATGAATTTGTGACCGTCTAGAGTAGGAGAACTACCCACTTCCTGACTGTGAAATATAAAATTGCCCACACAAAAAAAGTAGAGGAACATCCCTTTTATCACTGGGTAAATTTCATAATTAGTTCAGTAATAAAATAAGACTATCTACAGCACTTTCCACTTTCATAAAAAGTATAATAATAAAATAAAAACTACAAGCACTTTAGTTCTGAGATACTGTTAACTTATCACAACCCGAGAACTTTGTGAAGCGGTTCCTTCACTGCCTACCCTTTGCAGATGGGAAGACAGACACGGGGAGTAAGCAGACCACAGAGCCCACCCCACCGGCTCCCTGGGTCAGCTCTCCTCTCAGCCAGCTGGGCTGGCCTCTGCTGAGATAGCCACCACGTTGTTGTTTCTCGCGGGGACCCCAGGAGAGGAGCTCCTGCCTCACTCACTCCTGCATCTGCTGAGCACACAGGTGGAGTGCTCCCCAAAACACGGGAAGATTGCTCATTTCGAGTGGGAAGTATATGGACCAGCGTAAGAATGTATGTACAGATAGTCATTTTAAAGTTCCAAATTCCACTTATGGCAACTTATTCTAAGGAAATATTCAGAGATACGCACAGAAAATACAAGTACAAAAGTATCTTACATTTCAAGAAGAAAAAGAACCCAAAACTTTTTTTTTAAAGATAGAAAAAGATAACCAAGAAAGAAGGAGGAGGAGGAGGACCAAAAGACAGAAAAGAAATACAAATGACTTTTAAATGCCCAGATGATGACTCTGCTTCATTCATAATAAGAGAAGTGAAGTCAAACCTACTAAGGCGGCATTTTACTACTATCCCATTTGCAGCTTTCCTCCCAGGGAGGGCAGCAGGTGTCCCATTCCTTGTGTTGCCTGTGACATTGTTTCAATCCTTAGGGAGGGCAACATCTACCAAAATGTCAAATGCACCAGCACTCTGTTACACTGTTAGGAATTTATCTTCAAGCTGTACTCACAGACATTTAAAAGTGACACATACGAGACTATTCTCTGCAGCAAACCCCTCTCCAGGAATAGGAGATCAGCTGAAGCATGGAGCAGCACGTCACCACACGAGAGGATGAGGGAGACATGTCTGTGCTCCTATAGAATGATCCAGGGCATATTGTTAAGTGAAAGAGGGAGATGCAGAACCATACGTGCATGGTGCAACTGTTTGTACAAAAGGAGGGAAGAATCAGGTATACATTTGCTGGTGTGCTTGCTGACTCCTAAAATACCGCTGTAAAGAGAAATCAACCGACAGTGTTGGTGGGAAGGATCCCAGGGAGCCCGGGACCTAGAAGGAGAACATTCATTTGCTGTGAGTTGTTTCTATATGCTTTGAACTTTGAACTAGGAGAATGGTTCATTTATTTTTTTAACTGATTTTTTTATGAGTAAAGGAGAAAACAAGAAATAAAAATCATTAAGGCTAATGGAGGTATGTGACAGAAATGCTCTTGGTCTCGAATGTGACAAGGGTTTCCCAGATGTGCACAGCTGTCAGACTCATCACTTGTACATCAAAAGGAGAATGTCCATAAACTGTACCTCAAAAAAGTGAAAAAACAGCGCATGGACTAAATATATGAATATATATACTCAATGGCCTTTATTTGCATTGTCATAATAACTTTCTGGAAACTGGAAACCGCCTAGCTCTCCAGTGCTGGAGGACTGGTTGGGGGACCAGCTGGATGGGTGTCAGTGTAAGTCCCAGAGCACAGAGCATGAACGCTGAAAACGCACTTCTACCCCCTTTACTGCGCAGCTAATTTGCACATACAATCTACTTCCTGTAAGACTCGGCGCAACCCCAGGGGATTCGGAGAAATACGCAATTGTACTAAGAAGGAAACAGATTCAGCAATTAGGATCTGCTAGCCACAGGTGCCTCCACCCCTGTGTACCCTACGCACCCCGCCCAAGGCTGTCCACTTGGTCTTTGCACGCCTCCATCACTGCTCGCACACCTCCTTATCTGCTCACACACCTCCATCGCTGCTTGCACACCTCCATCACCATTTGCACACCTCCATCGCTGCTTGCACACCCCCATCACCGTTAGCACACCTCCATCACTGCTTACACTTCTCCATAATTTTGACACACCTTCAGAGTTTCTTGCACACCCTCACAATTGCACTTATATGTGTAATGCTCCCAAATGACCCCCACGTTGCAGAGGAGGCTGGTGAGGGGCCGGGCTGGGACTGAGTTTGCACGCACGTGACCACACTGTTATGTGCCACTCCCAGGACGCGCTCTGTTTCTTGGAGCGCAAGGAGCACTCTCTGCACCCTGGCTCACTACACAGGTGTCAAAGTCCTCTGGAGTCCCCACACCCTGCCACTCCCCTGAGGCTCCTGCAGCAGCTGGAGCAGCGGCTGCGCCCTCTTGGGCAGACCTCGACGGGCCGAGGGGCGGCGGGTACCTTTCTCTCCTGCGGGGCCGACTCTCCCAGGCCGTCCCGGCGCACCTTTGTCTCCCTTCTCTCCAGCGTCCCCTGCGGAAGAAGGCACTGCATTTAGGAGCTCCTCGTGAGCACGGATTCCAGTGTCAGCTGCCCACCCTGTGTGTGCTGTGGGTCAGGCCCCTTGGCCTCTCTCTCCCCCGCCCCAGCCCCCAGGAGACTTCATCTCTCATCCAGACCATCTCCCACCCCCATCGGCCTTCCCCCATCTTCCCACCCTCCATCACCGAGGGCTCTCAGGTTTCCCTGTCCCAGATCTGTGTCGGGAGTCTGCTTCCGGGCCCTCCTTTCCCCTCCAGGGATGTTGTGTCCCTCTCTCCAATTATCCCTCTGGGCTATCTTGCCCTCTGGCATACAGCACTCCCCGAGACCCCCTGTGCCTGCCCTGCTGACCCCCTGCCCTCACGGCAGCATGAGGAGAGCAGGGGTCTGGAGGATCCCCCATGGCCCCGGTGTCCCTCTGTACCTGTCTGATGTGCCTGGGAAGAATAAACAGGTGCTCACATCAGCATCCCCTGGTCCCTTCAGCATGAGCCCCCCACACCCACCTGCAGCACACACTCGGGGCTGGGGAGCCTGTGACCAGGTGGGCACATCCACCTGATTCAGCTTCGCTGGCCAAGTGTGTCCTGCTCTCAGCCCAGGCTACATGCCCCCCAGCTTTTGTCATGAGTCCTGGTCATGTTTTGGCAGACACCTGTGAGTCTTTCATCTGTCACTTATCTCATTCAGAACTGAAACAGGGAGATGGGCTGTTCATCTCCTGATATCCCACACTTAGCTTAGCTCACTGCAAATCGACCCGATGGTTTTTCCTCAGAGATGAGTCCCCCCTGTGACATTCCTGGTTCTGACTGACACACTGATTCTCCCGGACTGCAAGCCCCGGGCCCAGCGTCATCTCTGCTTTCCTGTCTCCCTCATCAGCGAAGTGCAAGCCTCTGCCCAGCTCTGCGGGGTCTGACCGGCCCACTCCCTGTCCTGTCCATGTTCTGGCCCAGTCAGCCGGCCCCGGGGCTTCGTGCAGCTTTGGGGACTGCGCTCACAGTGCTCATGCAGGACAGTCATGCACAAAACATGGAGGAGCCCACAAGCAGCAGAGGGTGGAGTCCCGATGGGAGACATCAAGGTCCCTCCCTAGGCCTCCTCCTCCCCCCACTCTAATCCACACCAAAACCGTCTTCCTAAAACACAGATCCAATTATGTTATGTCCCTTCTTAAAACCACCAAGGCTGAATGTGGTGACAAACAATGTCCCATTTTTAAAACCATCCTCAGTAGGCCTTCATCTGGAGCCCAGGTATTGGCAGCCACCTTCTCACCTGACCCTCCAGGTTGCTTCTCCTGGTTCCCTCACCAGCTACCTCTTCTCTCCGGTGACCAGGCCCCTTGTTCCATATTATATGGCTCGTCTGCCTGACTGCTGTACCGTTCCCCCAGGAGAGCACATGGGTGCCGACAGGGGGTCGGTGTCCCTCCCCAGGTACACACGACACCAGCCAACATCTAAGTTACTCCAGTTCTCTGCGATTCTCCTTGGGCACTCACACTTGGTGAGAGGCTAACTGAGGTTACAGAGGCCCCAACGAGATGCCCAAAACTGATCATCTGGCCTGAAGGAGGGGACATCCCACTTAAACTTAAGTAAACAAAGAGAAAAGCGAAGTGAGCGCCACCAACAAATGGAAGACAGAGCTGGCCTGTCACTGTGCCCTGCGTGCCCCAGCCTTGAAGGCTCCACCCAGGCCCCTGCTGAGGGTGGGTTCACACACGCCTAGCACACATACGTGGCCCTTACATCTCTGGGTACTTTACCGTTCTTAAAAAAGGAAATTATTACAATCGCAATACTTGGAGACACGTTGATAGGCCAGCGGGAAATACCAACTAACAGACTGAGCTCGCCACCAAAACCTGTGGACATGTGAGGAACACCAACATCCGGAAGAGAACCAACAGAGGAAAGGGACTCTTGGAGCAGTCGGCGTCTGACCCCAAAATAAGCTGCTGAGTATCTTCACAAAGGCAAGAGAGAATAGGCATCTATGAACAAAAGTAAAAAGCACTGAAAAGAACCAACTAGAAATCCTGCACAGGAAATAAATCTTTGCAGGGAAGGCTGAGAAGCAGGGTGGCCAATGGTACAAGCCAGTTCACCAAACAGAAGGTCAGGATGGAGAACGTTTTCACAGTGCGACACAAAGAGATAAAGGACTGGAAAGTTTTGTCTGGATTTCAAGTTATCAAGTGGAGAGTGAAGGAAAGCCCCACAAATTCCAGTATCCAACTGAAAGGAATTCCAGAAAAGGGAGAACAGACATTGGAAGCCGAGATGGTTGTGCAGGTTTAGGAGCTGTGACCTCCCGGCACTACGGGAGGGTGTGGGAGAACATAGTGCATGTGCCCCGGGGAGCCAGGCGGGAGGACACAATGCAGGCGCCCCGGGGAGCCAGGTGGGAGAGATGAGGTAAAATAACTTAGACGTGTCACAGTGACATTGCAGAACCTCAAGAATAAAGAGAAGAGGGCGCCTGGGTGGCTCAGTTGGTTGAGCGACTGCCTTGGGCTCGGGTCATGATCCTGGGGTCCCTGGATCAAGTCCCGCATCGGGCTCCCTGCTCGGCGGGGAGCCTGCTTCTCCCTCTGACCCTCCCTCCTCTCATGTGCTCTCTCTCATTCTCTCTGTCTCAAATAAATAAAATCTTAAAAAAAAAAAAAAAAAAGAATAAAGAGAAGATTCTATCAGTTACCCAAGAGGAGGAAGAATTTGTAAAGATGACATGCACCTGAACGAGTCAGGCCGACCTAAGAATTCTCATCAGCAGCACAGGATACAAGATTCAAGTAAGATAAAATGCAGCAATCATTCCAACCCGAAAAAGCCCTCCTTGAGATCGAGCGCTCAGAAAAGGGCTCTGACGAAGTGACCTCGACCTGAGACCCGCCGTAGCCAGGGGAACGGAGCTCGGAGAGCGGGGACAGCACCCGCCCACGCGAGGCCGGGAGGCGGGAGGTGACTGGTGCGCGGCCCGCTCCTGCGTGGCGCCCGCGGGAAGCCCCGCACGCCGTGCCCGGGAGCTAGCAGGGCCCGCCCCGCGCGTCGGGGACGGGGGCAGCTGTCCGGCTGCGGGGTGCGCGCCGGGCGAGCGCATGTCGCCGCCTGCGGGACAGCCCCTGTTTCCGCGTGCCGGCCCCCCGGACGGAAACCCCGGGAAGGCGGAGTGCACGGCCCGCCAGCTCGGGGTCCCCGGCGCGCCCGGGGGGGGCTCGACCTCAAGGGCGCGCTGTCCACACTTGCGGGACGTGCGCGCCTCCACCCGGCCTTCCCCTCCGTGCCTCCCGAAAGCCCGGCCCCCGCGCGGGGCAGGACCACGTCCGCCCTACAGAGGCGGCCCGGCCGGGAGCAGCGGGCTGCCGTCTTGGCCACCCCGCCCCGGGGCCGCGGAGCCTGCGCGGAGAAGCACCGAGCTACCCGGACCGTCCGCGGCCCGACCCTGCGCGCCCAGCCTCACGCTCCTCGGGGAGACGCAGCGGTGAGGACGCAGCCCTCGCGACCGCCGCCCCGCCACCCGCCGCCCCGCCACCCGCCGCCTCTCGCCGCGTCCGGCCTGACCAGCCCTGTGTGCGCCGCAAGGCTCCGAGGGCGGAAAGTCCCTGAGCCGCACCAAGCGCTACCGTGTGCCCCTAAGGGGAAAGAGGAGTGCCACTCCATTAAAAACAAGACTTCCACCTCACATGGGTCTTGCCTCTCTCAGATCATCAGAAAATCTCACTGTTCTCCCCAGGATGCTGCATCACGGGCGATTGTCTGGGCCAGCGCTGGGGGGGCAGGTGCCCCGAGCTCGCCTGTGGTCCCTGTGGTGGGGGCGTCCAGAGCCGGAGGCAGAGAGCCCCCCAGCCCGAGGAGGGGGCGCACCGTGTCCTAGGAGACAGCACGTGGGGGTTGCCGCAGAAGCTGCATCCAGTCCCACGCACCCACACTCGGGAGACATCAGAGGCGGGATGCACCCTGGTCCCACTCTTTCCTAATGACCCTGGCCTCCTGCTTGGAGCCCAGCCTGGGTGTGCTTCTCAAGAACAAAGCTGTCTTCAAGTGCTGCTCGTCGTGGGCAGGGCCCGAAGGGTCTGTCGGCTGCTGGTCTCGGGGGACACTCAGAGCTGTGTCCCCGCTGGTGAGAACCCCAGGACCATATTGCTATAAGCTCCTCCCCCAAAACTCCCACACACTCCGTACTGTCTGCCCAGGGAGCCCAGGGTCCTCTCCCCACATCCTTTCCTTTATCAGACATTGATTTGGGGCCGATGAGCCATATAAAGTTCTATGTGACGAGTCATTTCTCCACCACGAGAGGCTGACATTTCAAGCGTCGATCTCATGCTTCGCCATTGACAACCTGCTCCCTCCTCCCTTAAAGAAGCAAAGAATACGTGGCCAGAATTTACTTCTGGCTTGCCTCCCTGCCAGTCACATGATGATCTATGGCACAAAGTTTTTGCCTCAATGCCATTTGGGGTCATTGGCGACCCAACCAGGAAGACACACGTCAGGTACTTGGACGTCTTTGCGGCCAGTTCAGGAAGGGCCGTGGGCGCTCCTGGCTCTCGAGCACCTGCTTCTACAGCAGAGGTCACCCTGCGGCGGGAGAGGAAGCAGGTCCCAGCGGCTAAGTCATGTCTCAGAGGAGCAAAGTCCCCAAAGGTGTGTGTTAGTCGGGGCCCCTTGTTCCTGGGCCAGAACAAGACCCCCACAGTCCTCGCCCCCACCCCCTATACACAGAATGGGAACGATGTGAGGTGACGTCACTTCACAAGGTTTCCGTGAATTCAGCTGTCACCTTAAACATATGCAATTTTTTCTTGTCGATTATACTTCAGTGAAGCTGGAGATAAACACAAGACACCCAGATTGTAAGGACTTCAGTAAGTGTGATAAGGAGTTTCTCGGGGTGTCTGGGTGGCTCAGTCAGTTAAGCATCCGACTCTTGATTTTGGCTGGGGTCATAATCTCAGGGTTGGGACATAGAGCTCGGCGCTCAGTGTGGAGTCTGCTTGCAATTCTCTCTCTCCCTCTCCCTCTCCCTCTGCCCTGCCCCGGCCCCGAGCTCACTGGCTCTCTCTCAAATAAATAACCCTTTTTTTTTTTTAAGATTTTATTTATTCATTTGACAGAGACACAGTGAGAGAGGGAACACAAGCAGGGGGAGTGGGGGAGGGACAAGCAGGCTTCCCGCCGAGCAGGGAGCCCGATGCGGGGCTCGATCCCAGGACACTGGGATCATGACCTGAGCCGAAGGCAGACGCTTAATGACTGAGCCACCCAGGCGCCGCTCAAATAAATAACTCTTTAAAAAAAAAAAGTTACTCTACTGGAATTGTCCCTCTGGTGTGGACAGACTGTGGCCATCGAGACTATAGAGCAATGTTGCTGTTTATCAGGGTGTCTGGAATGCATGCTCCGAGGCCCCAAAACATCCTCCCATGGCTTCCGCACAACCTGAGGACATGTCTTGTTCACCTGCTAGAGGACAAGGCTTTGGGAGCAGGGTCTGCGTTGGCGTTGTTGTCCTCCAAGGAGCCCACCCCCCGTCCTGCTCACCGAGACCACTTGCCCCGTCCGCCCTCAGCTGGAACCTGCCCTCACCGGCCCCATCTGCCCTCACAAAGGCCTGGTCTCTGGAGACGCCCGGCTCTGTCTTGGGTGGCAGTCATTCTCATCAGGGGTCAATAGCCCCTAAATGTGAGTCTGCTTCCTCCAATGTCTCCATAAGGAGACCTGGCAGCATCCCCACCACAGGACCATCTGGCAGAGACCAGGCTCTGGGGCCGGGTCCACGTAGACCAAGTGGGAAGGGAGGGAGAGAAGGGAATTTGGGGAGTGAGTCTCAGGCCGGCCCCTCTTCACCCAGGCCTCTTGCTCCTAGAGTAGGAGGCCCAAGCTCGCCTGCCCCATGTGCGGCATGACCCTGTCCCTGTTTCAAAGGTTTTTTTATAACATTTGAACAAGAGGTCCTCACGTTGATCTTGCACTGGGCCCTCGAATTGTGGAGCTGATCCTGCATGGGAATTACAAGGTTTTGGAATCTCTTGCCTGTGCTATGGAGAAACCAGGGACTTTTCTAAACGAAGACGACCGTCTGAGGGCCGATACTTTCCCAGGGGCTGGTGCCCACCCCCGCCACATCTGCTCTGCAGAGCAAAGCTCCCCCTGGAAGGAAATTATAGGAAAGCCAACGAGAGAAAAGCTTTGGGGTTTGTTTGTTTGTCTGTTTTTTAAAGAAGAAATTAAGAGCTCTCAGGAACCAGTGGAAGAGCCGGGGCTTCATAGCTGTGTGACCCAATTTCCGTCGCTCATCGATTATCTATGTCGCTGAATGTCCCTGAGCCTTGAATGTCCTTATCTGCAAAATGGACCAGACGAGATTATCTCATTCTGAAAGTCATCTGAGGTAGTGTGTGTGGTGCCTGGAACGAACGTTAGCGGCCTTTAAGGGGTCCCTGTGGGCGGAGGTGCAGATAAGTGGCTAGCTTCAGAATTACAGAATCCCTTGGCCAAAGAGAGTGTAGACATTATGTAGTCCACCCTGAATTTGGCAGATGGGGAAACTGAGGCACACGTTGCTCAGACCCTGAGCCGGCAGCAGCACCAGCCCTCGGGCCTCAGCCACACTCGGGAGGCCGAGGTTGGGGTTACCTTTGAGGCCTGGGACGAGAATGTGCAGGGAGCAGGCCTCTTCGGCCGTCTGCTGAGGACGTCCGGCCGGAAGCAGCCACAGGAAGGCCAGGCCGATCAGAGCCAGATCCCTCTTCATCACGAGCGCTTGCGGGACGCTGGCTCCTGCATCAAGGAAGGGGACTCAGTGACGGGAACTCAGACACCGGGGCCGGCGAGTGACAGCGTGCAGGCCGGGGCCAGGGCGCAGGGGGCTGTCAGGGCCCCTCCCAGCCTTCGGGTCTCTCCCTCGGGGGCCCACCTTCGCCTCCCCTGCCCGGCCACGCTGAACTCCCATCCTGACGGCTGCCCCCAGATTCTCGCTTCTGCTTCTCTGTGGCTGATACATCAGACACACAAAGGCACGCGTGTAGTGCTACGGAAACCCCGACATGCCGCCCAGAACAGATGGTAGAGCCCAGCCAGCTCCCAGGACGGGACGGCCCCCCGCGGTCCCCGGGCCCAGGACGCCCCCCATAGCCTTGAAGCTGAACTCCTGGGCTGTGAACGCGTGTCTCCTGTGGCTTCCTAGCCTTCCTACACACCAGTGTGTTCTTCTTTTTTTTTTTTAATAGCATGGTTATACTATTTTATTTATTTATTTATTTGACAGAGAGGGAGAGACAGCGAGAGAGGGAACACAAGCAGGGGGAATGGGAGAGGGGGAAGCAGGCTTCCCGTGGAGCAGGGAGTCTAACGCAGGGCTCGATCCCAGGACCCCGGGATCAGGACTTGAGCCGAAAGTAGACGCTCAATGACTGAGCCACCCAGGCACCGCCCCGCACCCCCGATGGTTTTCTTTTTTTTTTCTTTTTTTCTTTTTTAAAGATTTCATTTATTTATTTATTTGACAGAGAGAGACCCAGTGAGAGAGGGAACACAAGCAGGGGGAGCGGGAGAGGGAGAAGCAGGCTTCCCGCCGAGCAGGGAGCCCGACGCGGGGCTCGATCCCAGGACCCTGGGATCATGATCTGAGCCAAAGGCAGTCGCTTAACTGACTGAGCCACCCAGGCGCCCCACACCAGTGTGTTCTTAACAAAGTTGTGCAGCGTGCCTGGCTTGGAGCGTTCCCGGCACCGGCTGTGTGTGCGGCCTCTGAGCGTGCCCGTTCTACTCAGCATCAGGCCGTGGGCTCAAGTGCAGCCGTAGCTCATCGGTCTCTGTGTCGCTGAGACAGCACCCGTCACCCCTCGTGTGGCACAGGACGGAAGGCACAGGAGGACACAGCTGGCCCTGCGTCCCCGTGTAATCAGGCACACCGGTTCTCCCCTTGGGGCCAGAGAGGAGGTCCTGGCGACAGCACCCAGAGAGCCCTGACCTGAGACTTTGACGTCCAAACGGCGCAGGGTCTGGGGACAGCTGTGCATCTGGCAGCCCCGGGACCAGTGCCCTGGCCTCATCACGTGTCCGTCTCCGGCCTGTGTCATCTTAGAGGGGAGGGAAGAGCCCGAGAGGCCAGCTCGAGGAGGAGCTGAGTGAAGCACAGAGAGGCCCGCGAGGGGCACGTGCTCACCAGAGACAGCCGTGATGCTACCGTCACCAGGCACGGGGCCGCGGCCCGCGGCACAGGAAGCCGGAGCCTCTGAACCGAGACCTTCTGTGCCCAGCCCCCAGCTTCCTGCAGTTTCTCCATGAGATGAACGCAGGCAGAACCCGCGTGTGCTCTGGGACACGCTGCAGCGGGGACCCAGCCCCCCTCAGCGGCGGCATGGGACAGACTGTGACGGGCAAGTCCCCCTCGACGGGGGAACAGTAGAAGGCCGGCTGCGGTCAGCACATTGCGCCATTTCACAGGTCAGGGAACCAGAGGTGAGGGAAATGAAGTCAGCTGCCCAGCGTTACCCCACTAGCAGGTGGGGAAGGTGGGGTCGGACCTGGGGCCTCCTGATGCACCTGACCTCTCCCTCCTGCTCCTGTCAGCCGTCAGAGTCGGGACCCACCCGCCTCTTTACATCACCACGGCCGTGCGCTTCTACTGTGTGTTATTTCATGTGTGGGGGAGAGAAAAGGAGCCACTATTTACTACCAGACATGGACACACAGACCTTATTTAATTCCCCAAACCACCTTGGACCTGGCTTCTCGCTGTAAAGGTGACGATGCCCAAGCCACTGGGGTCTGGACGGCCAGGCTCCCTCCCAGCTGGACCTCCCGGCTGGCGCTCGGCCTGCCCGTGCTCGCACAAGTGAGCAGCTCCAAGGAGAAGGAAAAAGACATGCAAGTTCGCCCACACTCTGCAAGGATGAGCTTTGCCTCTTTCACGTCTCCCCTGTCGCTGGGCCTTGGGTCCCAGTGCCAGGGACTTGCTCTGGAAGTGGGTCACGTGTGACCACCGCTTGCAGCTGGGAAAGCGCTGGGGGCCCCGGGCAGGAGCTTAGCAGACACTGAACTGAGCAAACAAAAGGATGCATGAAGGAATGAATGAATGAACATACAAGTTCACAGCGGCAACACCTGGAATTTAATGCTCTCTTCGGCTACTGGTTTTCCTCATTCCTCGAGGGCTCTTCCTGCCTAGATTCACATGGGACTCCTGGGGCCGGCGCCTCGGACACACGGCTGGTGCTGGATGGCCCCGCAATCAGTCCTGGCCCTGCCGTCGGGTCCTGGAATGCCTAAGGGTTTCCTGACAAAGGAGCAGCCGGGCCTGTTTGCCACAGTGTGTCTTTCACCGAAAGGAGCTGAGCTGCTGCTTTGGAAGCAAATATGGGTTCTCTCCAGAATGTAGCTCTTAACAGTAATGATAATATAATGTTGTATGTCAATTATATCTCAATTTTAAAAAGTCATGATAAACATTTGATCCAACTACATTTGGGCTCGAGCCTACAGATACTTGCTTCTTGGTGTTTGTGGATGCAGATGGGGTTTAGATTTTTCTAAATGTCTCAGGTGGCAAAAGCTGACTTGGGAGTTTCCTCTCCAGCTAGAAATGGTTGAGTCAGGACACAGCCATGCTGCTCAGCACGACTCTGTGCTCCCACCCACGGCTTTGGCTTCGAGGGACAGTGGTCGCCACCTCCCAAGAAAGGAGGTGCAGGGCCAGCAGAGAGCCCCGCACAAGGCGCACAAGACGCAGCCCGAACCCCTCCCTGCAGCCCTGAGCCCTCACCTGCTCGCCTTCTGCAGCTCCGGGGCAGAGAGCAGGGCAGCCCTGGGGCAGGGGGCGGGGGAGGCCTGCCCCCAGGAGTTCCAACTCCTCCCTGTCCTCCTGGGAGAGGAATTCCATTTGTAAACGGAGGCCCGCCACCGGGCCCTCTTTAAGAACCACATCCTGATCCAGCCAGAGACCAGCAGGTTCCCACCCTCCCTTCAGCGCAGGAAGCCAGGGTTTCCCAGGGGAAATTCAATTTGGAATTCTTAGTAGAAGTTCATTGTAAGAATGAAATTCTCTCTCTTTTTTTAAAAAAAGAATGAAATAGACAAAGTAAAAAAGTGTGGTATAGGGTGCCTGGGTGGCTCAGTCATTGGGCGTCTGCCTTCGGCTCGGGTCATGATCCCGGGGTCCTGGGATCGAGCCCCGCATCGGGCTCCCTGCTCCGCGGGAAGCCTGCTTCTCCCTCTCCCGCTCCCCCTGCTTGTGTTCCTTCTCTCGCTATGTCTCTCTGTCAAATAAATAAATAAAATCTTAAAAAAAAAAAAAAAGTGGTATGATTTGCCAAACTCACAATGCTACATTTTCATTAAACATCTGTAGCATTTATAGCTGGAGAACCACATCTGGAAGCGCCAGGGAGCTCTGCGGACGGACACTCCCTCCCCGCCCAGCTGCTTGCTCCCCACAGTGACACGGGGTCTCCCCGAGGGCCCACCCGAAGGGCACACACTAAGGAGGAAGAGGCCCTTCCCCTAGCTTTCCGCAAACCGTCTGTCTGTCCTCTCACAGCCTCCAGATTTCTCAAACTCGTAGATGAGCTGGAGACGCGGTGAAAGCTCGCGGCGAAAGCCCGGGCTCGGCTCTGCCCGGCCAGGAGAGCGTTTCTCATCAGATCAGAAGTCCTGTCATGCACGTGCGGCGGCTCTCCCACTTCGTCTTTTAAATTCCTAAGCGCTACCTGACTTCAGCCTGGAAGGCCGGTTGTGACAGCCAGCGGGGGAGGAAGGGCCCCCGTCACACCAAGTCTTACCCAGTTTGGGAGACCAGAGGCCCCCACTCCAGTCCTGTCTTTGCCGCATTACTGAGCCAGAACAGAGCCACAGGCCATGAGTACAGATTATTGATGCGGCCCATGGCGCCCCACCCGTAGGTGGCGGACATTCCCCGGGGACAGGCGGTTGGTGCTAGGGCCACCTTTCACATGGGCACTGGGGACTCGGGAAAACATGGTTGAACCTCTTGGACCCTGTGCAGAGCTGAGAAGGCTGCTCCTCATGAGTCCTCCTCATGAGCCAGCCCCACGAAGTTTCCACCATGAGCCCCTGAATTAATTAGACCTTGGAATTCTAGAGCCAGATCCATTTGACAGACCCCATCCTTCATGGGGACCAAAGAACAGACTCCCACCCCCCCTTCCACCTGAGTCCTCCCTCTGGCCGCATCTGGAACCTCGCCTTCCTAGCTCAGTGTATTCCCATCGACTGGCGGACTCCCGCCCTGCTCCCCGAGGCTGCCAGGTCACCGGGCAGAGCATCCCTACCTGCAGCACACGTCAGGCGAAGGGGGCGTCCTGACCGTCGGGGACCCGCGAGGACACTGCGCCCGGGAGCCTCATGGCTGCTATTTACAGAGGCCGCGAACCCCACAGGCCAGGCGAGCACGGCCTGGCCTGTCAGGCTGCCCAGCAAATCAGGCTGGTGTGTGCAGCCTTATCTGCAGAGTTTCCTGTTTGAAATACATCAGCTGTCCTGGGGGAGGGCGGTGGTAAGAGTGTGGGAACGCTGGAAGCAGCCCCGGGGTCAGGCCACAGACCCGCCGGAGATGGCCTTGCAGCTCTTCACCCCAAGCACCCCAGCCTGACTCTTCTGTGTCTCTTCTGTTCTATTTCTCTTCTCCTTCTGAAAAAGCAAGCATGAGTATGGTGGGCGCTGAGGAAAGCATGAAAAGCCATCACTGGGTGTCACATCAGACAGAAATAAATGTGGCTGACATGCTTCCTTCCATGCCCTCCATATAGGGTTTCACTTCAAGGCATTCTCTGCTTGTCTACTGCCTGTCGAGACCTAACCCACGCGAGACCCAAAGTCACTCCACCAACTGACGTTTCACGTAAAGGCAAAACACGTCTCTATGGTGGGTGGATCAGGCTCCTGGCTCTTACCCGATGAGCGGAGGGACCTTCTTTAAGAGAAAGATACAGACATACAATTATGATCACAAAAGGCTACATTCAAAAGAGCATTTTTATTTAGACTGAAAGAAGTCACAACAGAGCACAAATTTCGTAAAAACTTCTGAATTCAGGATGCCTAGGTGGCTCAGTCGGTGAAGTGTCTGCCTTCGGCTCAGGTCATTATCTGGTGTCCTGGGATTGAGTCCCACGTCGGGCTCCCTGCTCAGCGGGGAGCCGGCTTCTCCCTCTCCCTCTGCCCCTCCCCCTGCTTGTGCTCTCTTTCTCTCTATCTGACAAATAAATAAAATCTTTAAAAAAACTGTCCAATTCCACATACATCACAAAATCCATGAAAAAGAATGGATTCTTTATTAAAACTACCTAATAGCATAAATAAATCTGAAAACTTAGGCCCAATGGACCACTTCCTGGAAACACACAACCTACCACTTAGCAGCCCCCTAACAATTAAGGGGATTGAATTTGTAACTTAAAACTGCCAGAAAAGAAGCTCCAGGCCAGATGACTTCACAGAGAATTCTACCAAACTTTTAGAGAAAAATT